CCTGAAACAAAGCCGCCTGACCCGTGTTCGATCGCTCCAGAGACGTTTTATATGAGCCGACTGTTGTTCATCGCTAACCACACCGATTCCGACACGACCCTCCAACTTTGGGCATAACGAGCGATCTGGTTGATCTAAAACGGTAAACGGACAGAGCCGTTTTTCGCATTAGTCCAATTCGCAGTCAGTGGGTTACCAAACGACTCTTCCAAAGAGCTTTGTGACACCTTATTTCGCACCGAAAGACTTCCAATAATTCACTTATCAGGACTTCGCTTTACACTTAAATTTTCTATTCTTGTTGAAATAGCAATTGCATAATCACAAGTGTTTGAGTTCTTTCCACTTAGCCTTCAAATGTTTACGGGTTGATAGAAAATCACTCTCTCTTTCAGGCTAATTATCCCCCGGATGCAGTTCTTTTCCACTCCATTCGCGCACCACCAAGTTTACGGCCGGCAATGAAGGTTTCCGATATAAGTGGTATACCTACCGCTTACACAGAACCGAACACACGGTTGAACTACGCCACCGTGGACGAATTCAACACAATCCGATACTTACCCCAAGAAGTAGTGAATAGTTATCTAGCTCTTCGTGGCGTTGTCACCAACTGATCTTTGTTATACGTGGCGCCTTTGCAATCTTGTATAACTATTTTTGATGCATCTTATTTGGCTACAGAATATTTTCTTGGAAAAATAAACACGTGTCCCTACTTTTACACCTGTGTGCAAGGTTGTGTTCACTCACTTCTGTCGACCTTCCCTTTTCTGGGATGTGCTGAATTCCGATCGGTTAATCGTCACTTGTGAATGAATTTGTGGGATTGAGTATTATTTTGAAATACCTAACTGTTGACGTAAAAAAGATAACTGGGTTATCCAAAACGTATTGCATTCTTCGAGGCAAAAATTCCGGTCGGCTAGGAGTTACGAGTTTCGGCAATTTAAACCCAGCGTTTGGCAGTTTCCATTGTGTGAAACGTGTTCCACCGCCCTATGCAAAATTACAAGGAATGATAAGCAGCTTCCATAGTACTGCGTGGGTTATCTGAACATTTCTATAGAAAGCTCACACCTGATCTATAGAGAAGCCTGAAATTTCGGAACTCGGCGGAAAGGTACTTCACTCAGTTATCCCATCCGACAGCAAACGAACAGAGTCGAAAAAGCGCGTCAGCGGAAAGAATGACTTATATACTCCGCTCAAACGGATAAAAACGGTACAGCGGCAGCATCTTTTATGCCACCCGACGAAGGGCTGAGAGACTACCAGGTTTCCCCAGCGTAAACAGGAACGGTTGAGATGTCGCGGTTGGGTTCGAACCACAGACCTGCTGATCAGTGAGTTCGCGCCTTGACCAGTGAGCCATCTGGAGCTCTAAGCTAGCCGGCGATGACCAACATTATATCAATGAACAATGCTCAAACATGAACACCAAGAAACGAATGCTTCACTGAAGGCGGAGGCTTCGTCAGGAAGACCAAATTAAACGGTATTTGTCCAGGGTAACGGCAAGATGACCTGGGATTCGGAGCCTGGTCTTATGTCTCACAGTGCCCCTGGTTATTATCAATAGCCCTCCACCGACGCCCAAGCTCTCCTTCATATATTTTGCTCGGGAACTGAGCGGGGAGCTTATTCCTTATCTGATTCAACTGACAGTCTATGTGTTTGTAACAAATGTAACGACAAGAACAAATGGAACGTTTTGGTGGAGGCGGTATGTTGTGTGACATGGCGTAAAATACAGAAGGAACAGTTAGCTCATAAACTCGTTCATTGCTAGCAGGTGAAGTTTTGAAAGAAGGATGATATCCAGCACTGAAACCAGAAAATCCCTTCAACATGCCAGTTAATAGCGGTGGGACATGACCATATGCTCCAGCTAATCAGGTTATACATGTAGATAGACAGTGGCTGTGCTGGGAACGCTTCGACTTATAGTGCCAAGGTGACACCGACTCCCAAAATCACGCAGTGCACCCAACCCAGCAATGTAGACACTAAGAACAACCGATCGGTAGCGCAGAGGTATGAGAAATAGGGAGAAGTCAGTCATATTGGTTAGGTCGACTAAACCACCACATATTTATCAGGCCAAAAGACCTGCCCTACATGGTCCTCGTTCTCAAAGGAGAGTGGAGACAACCTATTACCGGACCGCAATCCGAGATTAAACATGAGCACACGGAAAACAGACCTGCATTAGGGACTGCCGAATCTTCCAAAGGGGACAGGCAGTGGACGTGTTTTTGGTGGTAATGACAGTCTAATCATACAGCCTTGCACACCAAGGCGACTTTTTGATACTCGGGCGCTTCTATAAATGATATCACCTCCACAGAGTAATGCCGTACCCAGTCATCTAAACCAGTCGTGTTCGCTACGTGACTGCCTTATCTACCGTCGACCGCAATGAAACTGGCATCCGAAACCACTAAATAGTGGTGCGTGATTTTCGGCGACTGACATGACTATCACAGCAATACAGTGAAATACACTGTATACTACACTTTTTCGCCCTGAATTGCGGTAGAATGGTTATATCGCCGAATTTTTACGGAAACAACGTCCGCGAAAGCAAGCCGGTCAACAGCGACCCCTTCATTTCAATAAGCGGAAGTGTGCTGCTCTTGTCAGATTATTTTCTAACGAGTGAAGAACAGACGCACCACACATCAAAATACGTCATTTCGTTTGCCAAACCGGTAATTCCAGCCTAAAAGCTAACTTTGTTTTCAAGTGGAGTGATATTCAGCTTAAAGACAATCAGCCAGGTTGGTTTGTCGACTGGATCTTCTAGCGAGAGTTTCTCAAGGCATCAACCTAGAGAAGCTGACGCGTAGTGGTCGTTTTCCGACAACGACGGATTTACGACAAGGCGGGCGTCGCAAGCCAGCTGTGAAATATCAGTGTCAAGATGAGTATTCCCAGTAAACAATACGAGAAATTCCACATGCATTTGAAATTGGTGGTACATATCCTTTTTCACTCCGATTTTTCAGATATACCATGAAAGTAGCATTAGAAGCGCCACCACATAGGATACCGAATTCCCATAGTGAACAACAGGAGAGACAAACAGGCGAGTGCATCATATTTATAAACTACGAACTGTACATTTCTGATCTAATCAATCTCCACCGTGGCTCCGACAGCCTCGAGGCTTTTCTTGATCTCCTCGGCTTCATCCTTGCTAACGTCCGTCTTCACATTACCAGGAGCGGACTGAAACACAGATAAGATAAAAATAACAAACATTCAAGAATGAGAACATATTGCTCATTAAGCCCATAAATGAGGCATGGCCGGGTTTTTCACAGGTGACCGTTCCCACATGTAAGCATTTTGAATATTCTCTCGCTAGCAACGTGTGGCTACTAGGATTGTGCTTTAGATATAGGAAGTAAAGATGATGCAAAACATGGGGAATATACACGCGATAATCTAGCTGAATCCTACTAATGATGAAGCAGTTGTACAGTACCCATCGGCATAGATTGACTTCACTTATAGGGAGAAACTTCGACTTATTCTGCCACTGTACCCTTCTCAGCACGCATGTGAAGTGGTATATATGGTAGAATCCAATAGATTTGTCCTTCTTGTTTGGAAGTGATTGCGATCCTTGAGTGAGGTTTAGGATTCGGATCTCCGCCGCATCGTACGTTCTGATCACGGTTGTTTGATCAGTTGACTTGTCTTCTTTAAAGGGGTCATGAATCCAATCCTCCAGGTCATCTTGATACTCTTAGGAGACTCAGTTCTCACTTAGCTATGTGACTTGAACCGTTTGGGATATCCATTCCGTCTAAGGGCAGTTGGGAGTGGAACTCCAATCAACTGGTACGCAGATCCACCCTGCTCACGAGAACAACGTTTTGACGACATTGTGTTTCAAGGGTTAAACGTGAAAAAGGCGTACACCTCCGATCACGACATTCCATAAACATCACGTTTAAACAATCCGTTGGACCGTACGATGAGGAACCAATTATCAGACTTCCAGAGGCTGTGGTGGGATTCGTATGTACGTTATTAGGCAGGCTTCATGCCTGGTGTCTTAACCTCGGAGACCGATAGGGTGTCATCGACGGGGCAGCCGAAGAAAGAACGTGAAGGCTCAAATAGTGGTCCTTTGATAAAAGTAATCAGATGACAAAGAGTAGTCCCATTGTGCCATTTTCTGCCTCTCGACTTCCCCTGTCTAGGCTTGGGCAACCTGACAGTATCCCGGCCCTCGTGCTTCCTTCGGGTGGTACGACAGCTAGACACACAAAGGGTGTTGCAGCTGGACGGTTTTCTATTTTTTTTCTAGTAAAACGAAAAACAGGTGTTTACTTCTCGGTCCTTAAAGTCTTTCCTTCAACGGTACATTCTTATGGTGAAACTTCTTATCAAATGGATACTTCCTCGGGAGGCGGTCACCGTGACATGGTTTTAGTGATGGCGATATTAAAACAATAAAGCATACACATTTTAGAAACATGCATTGGGTTTCATAGGGTAAAAAGGCTTGGGGCCCTCAGGTAGATCATACGGAAAGGCATAGTAGAGTAAGGCTTTCGGGGAAATCAGCCAGTATTTCATCTCAAGAAATTCTGACTCTTTCTCCTTATTCGAAGTTTGACTACAGGCACTCTCATTGGGAAGAACAACTGTTCACAGAGACACTGAAACTTTAACTTACTTCAACAAATTTTTTCGCCTGGACAAGGTTCATTTCAGGCACGAGTGCTTTAATTTCTTTAATTAGAGGGACTTTCTTCGCGGCATCGAATTTCAACAATCGGACGGTAAACGAGGACTTCGTGGCAACTTGTGGTTCTTCAACGGGTTCAGGTGTTGTGCTGGCAGATGGTGCAGCAGCCATGGCGGACATCATGTTCACTGGACTCTATAACAAACAGACAAAAGGCTTACATAAATGGAGCGCGTAAACCTCGGGTACTGTGAAGTCCTGCGTCAAGAAGGTTCAACGAACAGTAAATTAGCTACAAAAAACAGTGGACTGATAACCAATTCGTCGGAAGCGCTTTCCGACTTATCATATCAGGAATTGATCAAAACAGCAATCAGCCATGGATCGCTCAAATAACACAAGCAACCACGATGCATGTCTCATGAGTTAGAAATGCAGCGGGGTGCAGCCCCATAGTTAAGGTGTGTGTGTGTGTAAGTACAGGTTGATTTCGTCTATTGAACCTGTAAAATAGACTGCAACCGAATTGCCGCCGTACGCCTGACACTAGCGGAATGAAACCAAAGGCGTCAAATATCCAACAACTCAAACGATGATGAGTAGGAAATAGATAACCATTTGTCAATCACAGGCACTCACACAAAATCTCCAGTATCAAGTTTAAGGGTCATTGAGAGATACAAACAGATGACTCACTCGGATTAGGTAAACCGGGAACTTACAGTGATATTGAGCATTTTCTGTAACAGTTCACTGAGCTCTGCAACTTCTAAGAGGGAAAGTCGGGAAATGTCTTCAGCAAGTCGCCGTACATGCTGCGGATAAGATTTTTCTGTACTACTTCCGACAATCTCTGGAGGTTCGATGGCTGGATGTTGTTTTGTCTGAGGAGCTGAGGAGAAGCAACATCGTTGGTGTTGACCACAGACTACTTTTGATAAACACGGAACGGGCCGCAGAAAATACTGGAAAGTACAGCGCGCTAGCATCGTCCGAAGCAAACAGTGGCGCTCTGAAAATGCTGGATTCTCGATCGATGATCAAGCGCACTATAAAAGAACAAACAAGTGCATGACTCGTCCTAGTATGGACTAATCCCATTGCAAATTTTCGATTAATGAAGGAACGGAGTTTATCATGAAAACAGTGGCAGAATGCCATTAAAACGACAAACAGAAGGGAGACAAGTTGAAGATTGAAACAGATTGAGGACATAAATAGTTGTTTTGGCTTTGACAAGACAACACGATTTGATAGACCAAATTATGGTTTCTCAATTCTGGGGAGCACGAAAAGGCAGAGTTATCATCATCGACAGCCACACCAGCATTGAGCATCGGTGCTGCAGTGTCGCATAGACCCGTCACAAGAGAACGGATATTACCGAGGAGACGGTCTGTGCGCTTCCTTGACCCACTGAACTATACCGCGGAGTGTTCATGTGGTACTTCTGGAGTCTCCCATACCATGTTGGCCTAAAATTAGAGGTCTAACTAAGCTCAGTGGACCTAGATGTTGACGGCTGGAACACTCGCAGCGATCTGTATTTCGATAATTGAAAAGCCCTAGCTGTATCCCAGCCGGTGTACAATCACGGTTTAGAACCGGAAACTTCATACAACATCCACCACGCCATCTTACTTACTGCACAACAGGGCGAGTGAACAAAAATAAACTACCACAGATGCCTCCCTCCTTCCCCTTCTATAACTCTATCCCGCAGTCCCTGGAAGTCCATTCGTCAGGACAGGTAACTTGATTCACGTTGCAGCGTCCATAGAGGCGACATCCGCCAGTCAGTCGGCGCCGACGGCCTCACTTATCTGTAAATCAATACTTCAGCCCCGATTCCCGGTCTATCTGGATAACTTTCATGATTGTGATCCGGAGTTAGAAGTTCGGAGGGCTGCCTTCACGCATAAACTAAAGTCACTGGAAATCGAAGTAGGTTGAGTATCAGAAACAAAAATTCGATATTTATATACAACAACCGCCAAACTACGTACCGCTTTTCTCCCACTTCTGGCTGCACATCTCTGGCACTCCAGAGACTGCTGCGACAGTGTGCAGAGACGGTGTCGTCTTAGGTTACCAACTAGAAGGATCCCTTTCCAACTGCACATCCGCTGATATTTGCACCATTCGGTTCCTTTGGAAGCATCTGCGAAGGGACCTATTGAAAGCGAGTTAATAGCTGCTTGTTCACTGTACATCCAAACCCCAGCAGACTACATCTGACACCATCCAGGGCGGTTTTTGTGAGGACTCTGATGCTCCACGACAGTGGACACGACCTCAGGTGTCGTTGTGATTACCGGAGAACGAGTACACAGGCGGAGATCCTTAGTGCATCTAACACTCAACTGAGTGATCGGCTTGGATAAAGTTCCGTACGCACGGACAACGCTGAGTGACTACTTCAGCTATCGCCTGGCTGTAAACTACTCTGCACAGTAGAATGAAAATTCCGATAGAAGGCGGACCTCACCAGTAAAACTTTGGGACAGTTCATTGTAAACTCAACCAGCCCTGTCTAGGCTTGGGCAACCTGGCAGTATCCCAGCCCTCGTGCTTCCTTCGGGTGGCATGGCAGCTAGGCACCGGAAGGGTGCTACAGCTGAACGCTTTATCTTTTTTTTAAAAACTCAACCAGAGGTGTTAGAATAAAAGGAAGAGGTATAATGAAAAACTCATTTGTCCTTGTATGCTCCAAAGTGTTATTCTATCTACAAAGCCAAAGGACCTTTTGAAATTAAGGAAAGTAGTGATTGCCGGTCGACGTCGTACCTTGCGCTGCTCGGCCACTAGACATAATTTAAAGATGGAACAGTGCGCCTCATGTCAAGTTGACGTTCCGCTTAAACCCATGGAGTGTTTCTCATGAGCAGCGACGAACTTTACGTTATGTAAAGTGCTGTAGCAACGCCAATCACACCAGTGACCAACAGTCGCTCTTTTCCTTAACTTCAAAGGAGTTTCAACTCTAGATAAAAGGCAGTTAAAATTGTGTGAGTTACAAAATTTTGCACCAGGATAATCAGGCTCTTTGTGTCCTTTTGAAACTTCCAGAAAAAAGGCTAAAGTCTATTGACCGGTTTATTTATCGTGGCGACTGCATACGCCAGGATCATATTGCGACGGATGAATTCCATGCACACGGTAGCAAGGCTAGTGCAACATTTGTAATCTTGCGTATTTTGTGGAGTCAAAGACTACAACTGGATGGTTCTGTAGACGAAATAACTGTAGGGGCAGCCTTACTTCATAGTTCTGAAACATGCGCCATGCGATCTGACGACCACAAATACCTCTAAATCTCTTGTCACCAGTGCCTTCATAGCAAAACAGTTGGCCCGCTGCAGTGTGTATGAAACGGTGGTGCTTAAAGGAGTACTTGGTAAGGAAGTGGAATCACAAGCACGTCACATACAACTTGCCAGCTAAGGTGCTTGGAACTAACAGTACGCATATCCAGACCCTGTCACTCATTCCCAACACATGTGGGTGGAAACTGCGAAAACAAGTCACGACATACATGCACCAAATGGGGGCAATTAGTCAGGTTGAGATTTCCGTGCCACCGGTGTTTGAGTAGATGTGATGCTGTTTGCACGCAGCTAGAAATCCTAGATGTAACAACTTTCAGTGGCATTCATCCGGTCACTTTCCAATTGGACTGTTTGGCTACAGTTATCATTGTATACAGGGTCCTTGTTGGTTGAGTTTCCCAGAAGAAATTGGATGAATCCGTGCAGTGATTCATTTCGATTCCCTTCCATAGTGTAGGCGTATTACTTTGAACTGATTTTCCACCAAGTATCGCCCTTTCCGGATCCTTCAACGCAGGTGTTCTTCCTCACGATCGCGCGGTAATCACGATGACATACGCAAACGAATCTCTGAACAGAGAAAACCGCCAGCCACTAGGGAGCGAGTCATGAGCTCAGGTCGGTAACATCGCCATTAGTTGCTAATGAATTAGACCTTCAGACTGTCATTCTTTGGAAAACCGTCATTTGTTATTAGAGACATGACATTTACAGCTAACATTCTCATGCCACATCGGCCGTTGCGGTCAGCCGGGTCGCAAGCGAAAACAGGCTACTGCTGACCCTTCCCTTCTTTATCTTTCACATACGTTCTCTTCCCCCTTTGCCGCCCCATTAATAACTCCCTCCCTGCAGGCCCAGTACTTGGGACTGGTGACTCTGTTGGCCATGCATCGGTTTTGAGCGCAACATCTGCTCGTCACATGGCGCCGACATCCTCACCAAATCAATTTTCAAGCCTTGAAACCCAGCCTATCCGCCCACATTCAATCTCCACACTCTGAACCAGGTAGGACAACAAGGTACTCTTGCACTCACACTGAACTCGCTTTGCATTGTGTGCTGTGTCTCAGAAACGAGAATTCAATATGCAAGCACAATGATTGAGCCAACCACTCCGTCAGTCTCCGCTCGATTTCGGCCGCGCACCTCTGGTGATCAAGAGTCTGTGGCAGCGGGATGTGCAAGAGCTGGTATCGTGATAAGTCACCGGGCGGAAGTATCTTTGCTTGACTGGATACCTGTTGATAGTCGCCTTTGTGCGGTTCGTCTGGCAACGTCTGTGAAGGAGTCCCACAAGCACGAAGCTAATCGCTGACTGTTTGTTGTGTCCGCTTACGCCACAACTGACCGTAGTTCCGACGCCGTCAAAGACAAAACCCTATATGTTTTGTTGCGGAGAACGAAAAACTCAGATATCGTGGACGTTGCCGCAGATTTGAATGCACAAGTGGGTAGGTCTAATGTATCTGGGACTGTGTGCATCTGAGACTCATTTGGGAGGTCGACATGGACTGGACTCGGTACGTATGGACAATGGGGAACGATTGCTTCAGCTGTGTGCTGATCGTAGGCTGTTTTTATGCAGTGCGAACTTCCGAAATAGCCGAAGTCGTCTGGCCACTTGGTGTCGTCCAACAACAGGCTGGCCACAAATTCAAATCGACCACATTGCCATCAGTTACCGATGGCGCGGATCCATAACTGACTGCCGGTCGTTTTGGAACACATTTGTGGACTCTGACCACGCGCTCGTCCTGAGTCGCTTCGCTCTACGTTTGCCGGGGCCGCGTAAGGTGCGGACAAATCGCATGGCAACTGAAAGACTGGCAGACCCGGATGTCAGACGAACTTACAAGAATCGTCTCCTAGAGTCTCTTCCAAGTGTTCCACCATCAGATGTGAACTCATACTGGGACGGGATTGCCACCTCTTTGCATAGTGCTGGGAATTTTGCCTGTGGCACGACCCATCCAGGCGACTCAAGCACTGGATATCAGACCGAACAGTGTCACTGCTTAAATCTCGGAGAAATATCCCAACTGGTCCCGAACACAACCCGGTGCGAAAAATTATCAGACGCCAAGTGAAAGTGAGCGTGCGAGCCGACCGTTAAGTATAGTGGACACAGAAAGCCAAAGAAATAGAAAAGGCCCGGAAAGCCGGTGATACCGAAGACTATTTCAGTTGATCCGTGTTACCGGCCCCCGGAAACCACCTGTGAGCGAAACCATCAAGCATCAGAATGGGGCGATCGATGGGCCGAATACTTCGAACAATTATCATGGCCACCAGCTGACACCCAGCTTGTGTTCACAGGTGACGTAGAACCCTGTATGGTGAACGTGGAACCGCCAATGCCCTCGGATGTTTACGACTGCATATGTTCTCTCAAGCGCTACCGAGCTCGCGGTCCGGATGACCTTCCACTAGCATTGTTCAAAGACTGGGGTGAAGTTCTCAGTCAACGCATGTCTGATCTGTTTGCTAACATTGGGAAAAGGAGTCCGTCCGAGGCAACTGGGGAGAGTCGGTGATAGTGCCAATTTTCAGAAAGGGGCTCGTAGTGAGTGTGGGTTTGTCAGTGTATCCGTAAAGAGGCGATTAGAAAGCGAGTATTTAGTTACGCAACGGGTACTGCCATTAAAGAATGTGTCCAGCGTATGCCTAACAATCGTTTGCCGAAGGTAGTGCTGTTTTCCATACCGAACTCAGAGTGGTGTTATAAAAGAGATGGCCAAACGTTGACCTGGCAGAGGGGTATGGGAGAGATTACAAAAGGCTCCTCGGCTTCCAGGATGTGGACCGCGTGATCCCCCCTGCGCCTGGTTGGAGACACTACAAGATATGGCTGTCAACCGATGTCAATGGTATTCTTGTTGTCAGTTTCTATCCAGATTGCCTAAGTGAATATCTGGAGGTGTAGGTACCTTCGACGGTTGTCCACGCTCCTGCTATAGCCCAGTCCAAAGCACTATTAGACAATTTTTATGTGAGTCCACGCACTGGCAAGCTTACTGCCCCTCAATTTTCACGGATTGATACATGGGATCGAGGCCTTCGCCCAAGTTTCCGGGGTCGGTTTTGTTCTCGTCGTTCAACGGATTCTGTTCACCTGAAAGCTACAAGCGGAAAAAGGAGTGACACTGTTCTAAAAGTTCTCAGCGCGGGACAGTAGGCTTGCCAGCGCAAGGACCCGCACAGTAAGTGTTCAGTAGTGCTTCGGACGGGGTTCTAGATGGGGCGTGGACAACCGTCGGAGGAAGGTTATTCCATGCAGCTACTACTCCTGAGATAAATTTTGCCTGAAAAATTTCGCTTGAAAATCTACTTACCATGCCCCCGACGTGTGTTTGCTGGGTCAACGGTGAAAAACCTGTAGGTCAAGCCTTGTTTAGACTGTGCATAGGTAGGAATTAGGTCTCCTCGGAGGCGCCGATATTGCAGGGGAAAGAGATCAAACCTTGAGAGACGCGTTTTGTAGTCCACCGATTTAAGGCCGGCAACCAGTTTCGTAGCAGCTCACTGGGCACGCTTAAAGGGGATCACGTCTCTTATAGTCCTGAGTAGACAACTCGGTTGGCGTATACAAGGAGCGGTCTGACGTAGGCCCCACAGAGTATTTGGAAGTCCATGCGAATAATACGGGAAAAGGTGTACCGAATTATCCGTAGAACGGCGAATGTCCTTTGCACCGATTTTTCACGGTGCACTGGTAAGGACATGCTTGAAGGGGGCCAGATACCCAAGTACATTTTGGCATCTATCCTCAGTGACGTTTTCTGGTCCTTTCTCACCATGCATGACAAAGACATTCGCTGAGTCTCCTCCAAATGACACATGGACGTAATCTTCCTTATTCATAGGAGGGTGCCAGTCCAACGACTCTGCAGTGTCCACATCCATTTGTGGGGGAAGGGTGTTTGAACACCAGGATTTCAAGTCGTCCGCAAAAAGTAGACATGGGCTTGAAAGAACACCTGGAAGGCTGTTGACCTATATCAGAAACAGCAGTAGTCCCAAAACGGAGCCCTGAGGAACTCCAATGGAGACAGGTGCTGGAGAAGACTAAGTAGAACATACCTTCACTCGGAATGTACTGTCTGATAGGAGCGCCTTGATCTAGTGTAGGATTTTCCCTTGAATCCCATAAGACTCGAGTTTGTGAGCAGTAGACTCTGTCAAATGCTCTTAATAAATTGAAAAATATGACATCAGATATGGGACCCTCGTCCTTGGCCTCGGTTAAGCTGTCCGTAAATATACATATATATA